GGCCGGCCCTGTGGCTTAGCGGTTAAGTGTGCGCGCTCCGCTACTGGCAGCCGGGGTTCGGATCCTGGGCGCGCACCTACGCACCGCTTCTCCGGCCATGCTGAGGCCGTGTCCCACATACAGCAACTAGAAGGATGTGCAGCTATGACATACAACTATCCACTGGGGCTTTGGGGGAAAAAAAAATAAATAAATAAAATTATAAAATAGGCCAGTAGCAATCAAAATGAAGAGAACAGGACTGATTAGAGGGATATCTGGAGGGCTGGAGGAAGGGGGGAGAGGGGTTCAATATTATATGATAAGAACCACAAAGAAGAAAAAAAAATTAACTCAGAGGACCAAGATATTAAACAGGCTACCACAAGGAAGTAGGATTAGACGAATTATATATGACCCCCAAAGAACAGAATTAAGATAAAGAAATGAGGGCCTGGCCTGGTGGCATAGTGGTTAAGTTCATGCACTCTGCTTCGGCAGCCCGGGATTTGCAGGTTTGGATCCTGGGCACAGACCTACACACCCCTCATCAAGCCATGCTGTGGGGGCATCCCACATACAAAACAGAGGAAGATTGGCACAGATGTTAGCTCAGGGCTAATCTTCCTCAGCAAAAAGAGGAAGACTGGCATCGGATGTTAGCTCAGGGCCAATCTTTCTCACTAAAAAGAAAAAAAAAAAAAGAAATTTAAGTTACAAGGGGACAGATTTCTGCTCAGTATAAGGAAGACTTTCTTCCTAACAATGAGTACTGAAGATGAAAAGAACTCCTTTGGGAAGCTGTGCTCCCATAACCAGAAGTATTCAAGGAAAGGGATAGATGACCACATAAAAAGGATATTATAGAATGGGATTCCAGAAGTAGCTGGGTAAATAGACTAACTGACTTTTAAGGTTGTGTCCAACTCTCAGAACAGTAATATCAATACTTCTATTAGCTGATATTAACAGCAGTCAACCATTTATTGAGCTCTTATAATGAGAAAAGTATTGTGCTGAGCAAAACAATCCTTCACCATTTTATAGGTAAAGAACAGGGGCTCAGCGAGCTTAAGTCACTCGCCCAAGTCATATAGTTATTTAATTGGCAGAGCTAAGTCCCAAACTATCTCCTGTCTCTGAAGGCAGTGAAGAAATGGGCTTCTAGAAATATGTGCTCCTGTAAAGATATAAAATTAAAGCCAGATATGTTAGCTTCTGTCTGACACCTTGATGGAAAATGCTCTTAAGTGAGAAGCAGTGAGGTTTTTCCCTTAATGGACAGATGACATTAGCTAGATATACACAATATAGTGTATGCAAATATTGAAGAGTTATAGAAGAAATGAGTAAATGAAAGACAAAATATATGAAGTCACATTACCTCAGAATTTAAAATATTCTACACAGCATCAATTCAGTATTATCTCAGCACCAATCAATTGCAACAAAATATGAAATTAACTTATTCTGCATGAAGTTTACAATGTTACCTTAATTTCTGTAGTGAAATTATTTTTTTAATACACTAGTGCAGTGACTCATCATTCGGTATACACTACTAGAGTATACCACCACCTTTTGGAAAGAGGATCAATTTATATGAATCCTGCTTAGCTGTAACTGAGAGCTTCCCAAGGTAGTTAATGGAATTTTCTTTTAATTAAACAAATCCATATGCTTAAAAAAATAAAAAGTAGAAATAATAAATCACTTGTACCAGCTTTGTTAATATGCAAACTAATAAAAAAATGGTGCAGGAAGCAGAAACACCCTTCAAGTGGTACACTGCTTGATGATCTGTTTCAATAACCTCAATTCTGGCTTTCACGCTAGAGACTCAAAACACCCACACTGGGACGCCAAGTTGATCTTATCTGAGTAGAAATGGAAAGGCATAAAAGAAAATTGCCAGGAATAAGAGAGTAAACTGTATTTCAATAAATTTAGGTTATAAACACATAAATAAGTTACAGCAAGTGGTCTAAGCTATGGGAAGAACAACAGGGCAAGCATGTACTACCAAACCAGTTTCTGGTGACAATGAATCAAGAAGCTAAAAGCAACCATTAAAAATGTTTCCCTGCCCCATGAGGAGGGTAATTTTCATTCACAGAACACACTTACTTAAAGTTTGAACATTATTTCAAAGGACAAAAGTATTACAATTTTTAAAAAGAATCTCAACGCGTCCAATCTAACTGTAGAAAGGGAGCTAAACAGCTTGACTACTATTTTCTAAAAGAAACAATGTTTTATTTGTTTCAAAATAAACTCTTACAGGAAGATTCAAATCAAAGTATGCAAAATAATAAATTTATGGGGAAAAGGAATTAATAACTATTGAACATTAACAATGTCAAGTACTATGCAGCACACATCATATACATCATCTAACAAAAACTCAAGAGGCACAGTATCCTGCACATAATTTAAAGGGCGCTAAGGCTTAGTGAAGTTAGGGTATCCGGGCAAGTAAGAGACCCTGAAATCAAACCAAGGTCTAACCCAGAGTTCTTCAGAACTGTCCCAAGCTTCATTCCATGACAGACTGCACACATCACAATTAACTTTCTTATAAAATAATAACTCAACTTGACCTGGGCTTCAGTTTTTATCACAAATTCTGAACTCATGAGCACAGAGTAAATGAATTATCTGCATTTCTCTTCTCTCCCAATTCTTCTGCTCTTCTAATTTTCTCCCAACAAAGAAATATTTTACTATTAAAACACAAAAGACTGAAAAGAATGCAATTCAACCACACATTAGTATTTTTCTGACAAGAATAAAATTTGATATAAAAAACTACACAGTAAGCTATAATATTTAAAAATATGTACTTTGTTCCATATACATTAAAAATTTTATGTAAAAAGGACTGTGTTTAAAGGTACATTACTATACAGATAAAAGAGCTTTAGTCTGGCATAGGATTATGGAAACAGTAAATTTTCCACATTTTCCTGAAATGGCTTTGTGTGTACTTTTGTTTTATTTTGCAGTGGGAGAGAGAATTACCAAACATTTGGAATACCTAAGAGTACTCAGCTCTTAAAATCAATGCCTCTAAAAGTATACTGCTCTTAGTAACAGATGGCCTCTAGGTCTACTCCAAATCACAGAGGTAGGAACTAAAGTTCAGAATGAAAATAGATAAATTTGGTGGGAAAAGTCTTTTGGAGTGACTTAAATGATGACACTTCATCAACTGTAGCTTAAGAATCCCAAGCAGTGGGCCGGCCCCGTGGCTTAGTGGTTGGGTGCGTGCGCTCTGCTGCTGGCGGCCCGGGTTCGGATCCCGGCTGCGCACCGACACACCGCTTCTCTGGTCATGCTGAGGCCGCGTCCCACATGCAGCAACTAGAAGAATGTGCAGCTATGACGTACAACTATCTACTGGGCTTTGGGGGGAAAAAATAAATAAATAAAATCTTAAAAAAAAAAAAAGAATCCCAAGCAGTGATATTACCCTAGATATTAGCTTGGATAAGAAACTTCATGGTACTAGAATGTCCTTTCAGCTTGGATCACCTACAAGTACTATATACAGACTCAGGAAGAGAAGTGAAAAAAGCTTTTCCCATACAAGCTCTTAATTAACCCATCCTTTCTCAACTATTTCTCCCCTTAAAACGCCATCCAGAGCCTGGGAAAATCCTGTTATGCCAGAAAGTAAGGAGACAGGCAAACAATGATGAGGACAGTTCAAAAAACCATAGGAGCCACCATGAAGGGGCTTCCCCCAGCCAAGTCTGAAAAAACTTACACATCACAATAAACGATAGTATTGCCTTATAATCCAGTAAGTAAAATAAGGATCCATTTTTCCAAATTTATATAGATAGAAAGATTAAGGGAAATAGATAAATACATACATACATGGGAAAAAATGAAAAGCTCTTCCTTACAATAGAATGCCAACTAATAAAAGTAGAAGAAATGGTGGCATTTGAAAATTAACATTACAGCCACAATAGTAATAACTGATTTAGACAAGGACCACCAACAGTTGCTAAAACAAGTGAGTCAGAATTTGAAAACAAACAGGATTATTACACGATCTCATTGGATCTAGCCATAAATTACTTATTAATTACAAAGAGAGAATTAACAAATATCATAGTTAACAAGTACTTATTAATTTACAGTGGAGAACCTAGCAAAACAACCACCTCAAACAAGTGATCAACAATGTTAACATCATTAATAATGGAACATTGAAATCCCGGGCCTCCTGCTATGATACCCTGAGAAGGATACAACATCACTTCTATGAAAGTATTCTTACTAAAAAGCATAACCTGAATCTCACCATGAGGAAACTATCTCAAATTGAGCAACATTATATAAAACATATGGCCTGAACTCATCCAAAACGTCCATGTCAAGAAACAAAAAGAAAGCCTAAGGAATTCTTCAAGACTTAAAGAGACATGAAAACTATATAAGGTACGAACATGGACTAGATCTTGGGGGAGGGGAGTTAAACCATAAAGGACATAATTGGGACAACTGATAACATCGGCTGAACTATGGATTAGACAAAGGCATTTTATCACTATTAAATTTCCTAATTTTCATAATTGTACTGTGCTTATACGAGAGGATATATTTGTCCTTAGAAAATGTACACCTAAATACTTAAGGGTTAGAAAAGAACAATCTCAATTGTGCAAATGACTCTCAAGTAGTTCAGGGAATAAATTTTAAAAAATACACACACACACACACATTGGGGAAGGTGAGAGCGTGAGCAATCACACAAATTACAAAGCAAATTGGGCAAAAGAAAAACTATTGGTGAATCTGAGTAAAAGGAAATTATAAGTTCTTTGTGCTATTCCTGAAACTTCTCTCAGTTTGAAATTATATCAATATAAAAAGAAACAAGAAATCTGTATAATTTTATTTTTATAAAACTGTATGTGAAAGCATTTTGAGCATTCCAGGACACCTCCGAGTCTCCAGCATGATACTTAGGTGTCTCAACATCACTGTGATGCTGCTCCTTCTCTTACCTTTCTAACAGATTGTGGATCGCTTTGAAGAGCAGCGTCCTACATTCATAGGAAAGGCCATTTTCCCAGAGTCCTTCTTCCACAACTGAAAAAAACAAAACAAAACAAAACAAAAAAATGAACCAGTAAGCAGAGCATCCAAAAAAATAAAAAATGAAAGAAACTTTTAAAACATTTTTCTAAAGCAAAGTTAATGAGTTAATTTAAATAACTTAAATTATCTCACACTGAAACAGAGAAACCATGTTAAATACTTGCCCCAAGTCATAAAGTACTTATGTTCAGAAGGAAATAACTGTTTCAATTTTAGCATCTTTGAAATATAGGCATGGTACAATCCCCCTCCCAAAAAGGTCTTTCCAACCTGCTTCTTCGAAATTTGAAATCATTCAAAATCCTCAAATTAATCTTTCTACCTAATAATGTGACAAAGACTAATTTTTTTTTCCTTTTGTGAGGAAGATCAGCCCTGAGCTAACATCCATGCCAATCCTCCTCTTTTTTCTGAGGGAGACTGGCCCTGGGCTAACATCCATACCCATCTTCCTCCACTTTATGTGGGACACCACCACAGCATGGCCTGACAAGCGGTGTATCGGTGCACGCCCGGGATCCGAACCCAGGCCGCCAGCAGCGGAGCAGGTGCACTTAAATGCTATGCCACAGGGCCGGCCCCAAGACTAATTTTTTTAAAGTTCTATTTAAAGGTAACAAAAATGTCACAAATTAACATTAAAGTTATCATATGTATTTTCAGAGGGAAAATCAAAAGGAAAAATATCCAAAAACGTCAGAGTTACAAAAATTTCTTTAAGTGTTTTGTAGACGGTATCTGAATAGGATTTTAACGACATGATTTCAGGGAAAATGTCAGGAAATTAAATCTTAATATAACATCAAATTTATTTCCTTAACTCATAATTTCATTAATGTTTGACATTTTGGGAAATAGTGTATTTGCCTTTGAAATATGTTATAACACTGAGCCACAAGTAACTCTAACACCAAGAGAACCCAACAGACTAACAATGTTCCATGCATTCCTAACATTCTTTTCGTATATAAAAAGATATATAACACCCTAGACGGGTAGGTAGGTAATTTTCTTTTAAATTATATTACTTCAAGATAGCAAAAAATTGGAAGGATGAAAACAGCATTTGCAGAAGAAAATTTCCTCTCCCTTTTACTTGTTATCTTGACATAAGCACTCACCAGAGAAAATTTTGACTGAGAATTAAAACACATGTTAAATCCACAATTTATTTTTAATGCTCTTACCATACCAACTGACATCTCAAAATGTATCTCCACATTCTCCAATCAGATAGAATTTGAAAAGTGTATTAACATCCATGGGTTTTATCTACAGGACTTTCTTTAAATGATAAAACTGGATAAATATTTTTTTCTTGGTAAGTCAGATAACTTTATTTTCCTGCCTATGTGGTTAATCATGATTTACAAAATTTTCCCAAAGCAACCTCTGTCAGAAACATTTTATGTTATTTATAACTAGAGAAATAGAAATAAAGTATAGCAAATTGTAAACAAATACTCCTGCTAGCAACAGACTGTCTCTGTTCAAGACAAAACATCCAAAAGTTTTCTACAACCCTCTGGAGGTGTCATGAATCTCCATTCTCACACATTTACCTTCTGGGTAGAGCTTTTCCTGAGTGAGAAAGAAAGCTAACATTTCAATAAAAGGAACACCCCATATTAATTTGCTTTTCTTTCCTAATACGTTTCAGTGACTCTAAGACACCATCAATTTTAAGATGCACCATTATTTTATATATCACTGGGAGTGGAGGAATGGGGGGAGGCGGGGAGCTGCCAACTCAACTATAACATGGCTCTTACCACTTAGGATTTTTAATTTGCAATTATTTAAAGAGCTCCTTTAGATTTATTGAGACATTTTTTTTCAAATATCATTATTGTACATACATAAAATGGATAATACAAGCAAAAAAAAATAAGTTAAAAATTCTTAAAACTTCATCAACATTCAAAGTCCAACTCTTCTGAATCACTCTTCAACTCAGTCACTGGTGTCAGTGTTTTTCTACATAATAGTCTTTTGTGCCATAAAGAGTGTTGGTGATGCAGTATTTGTTAAAAGAGTGTCCCACTCTTCAAGATTTTTTCCAAGTTGGTAACACCTATTCTGCACATTTTTAAAAAACTTTTTATAATTAAAATATTCAAACATACTTTAAAATAGAATAACAAGCTCCAATAAATTCCTAAACCAAATTATCAACACTGTGTCATCTGCTCCAACCACCCTGCTTTCTTTTCGTCTTTCTTTTCATTTTTCTTGATATACTTTAAAACAAATCCCACTGCTAAGTACTTCAGTGTACATCAAATCAGAATCTAAACAAGGTCTATCAATTGCCTCTCAAGTTCTCTATCTTAAGTCTCCTTAGTCTACAACAGCTCATCTCCTTTTTTCAAACATGCCAATAAGTTATTAAAGAAACTAGGTTAGTTGTCTTACAGAATACCTCACATTCACGTCTAACTGCTTCCTCATGATATCGTTTTTTCATGCTAGTGCTACTTTGACCTTAACAGAACATACCAAAGGAAAGGTCTCAGATAACCACAACTCTTTATTTCTTCCTCAAATGGTCCTCAAATACTTTGTTAACTGAAATGTTGAAGGGTTATAGCAGTCCCTTCATGCACTGTGAAATACTAAACACGTCCGAGCACGCAAAGGCAATGCCAACTACATGCATCACAATTTTAAGATACCATTATGATTTTACTCTGATTTCAATAATTTTAAAATAGGTCTTAGAATTGATTTTTTCTCTTTGAAAAAAATCTTAAAAGACTAATTACAAAAAATCTACGACAAACATCATAATGTTAAAAGACTGAATATTTTCCCCCTAAAATCAAGAACAAGACAAGAAAGTCTGCACCCACCACTCCTATTCCACGTTACAGTGGAGGTCTTAGCCAGTACAATAAGGCAAGAAAAGAAATACCAGGCATACTAATTGGAATGGAAGAAATAAAACTGTCTTTATTCACAGATGACATGACTATTAGCAAATCCTAAAGAATCAACAAAAAAAACTATTAGAACTGAAACTGAGTTTAGGTAGATCACAGCATACTAGGTCAACAGACACAAAACAATCATATTTCTGTATATTGGAATGAACATTTAGAAATCAAATTTTTTTAAGTACCATCTACAATAGCACCAAAAACCATGAAATCCTTGGATATAAATCTTACAAATTATATGCAGGATCTACATGCTGAAAACTACAATACTGATGAAAGAAATCAAAAAGACATAAATAAATGCAGAGGTATATATTGATTGTGGACTAGAAAAATCATTATTATTAAGATGTCAATTCTTTCCAAACCAATCTAAAGTCAACTCAATTCCAATCAAAATCACTGCAGGATTTTTTATAGAAATCGAGAAGTTGAGTCTACATATTTATATGAAAAAGCAAAGAAACTAGAATAGCCAAAATAATGCTGTAAAAGAAAAATACAGTTGGGAGACTTACACCATCTGATTTTTAGACTTACTATAAAGCTAGAATAAACAACATAGTATAGTATTAGAGTAAGGACAGATATACAGATCAACAGAACAGAATAGAGAGACCAGAAACAGACTCACAAATATATGGTCAATTAATTTTCAACAAAGGTGCAAAGGCAATTCAGTGGAGAAAGAACAGTCTTTCCAACAAATGGTGCTGGAATTGATGAATATCCCTATGCAAAAAAATGAGCCTCAAACCCTACCTCACAGCATATAGAAAAATTAACTCAAAATGGATCATAGAACAAAATGCAAAACCTAAAATTATAAAACTTTGAAAACATAGGAGAAACTTTTATAAGCTTAGGTTCAGTAAAAATTTCTTAGCTATAACACCAAAAGCATGATCCATAAAGAAAAACTGTTAAAGAGAGCTTCACCAAAATAAAGAACTCTGTTCTTTAAAAAGTTTGGAAGAGTTACATTAAGCTATAGAAAAGACAAGCCACAGATAGGGGATAAGCACAAATCACATATCCAACAAGGACTTGTATTCACAATATGCTATTCTTAAAAAAAAAAAAAAACAAAATTCAACACTACCAAAAAAAATTTAGAAAATGGACAAAAGATTTGAACAGATATTTCACCAAAGAACATATATGAAGGGCAAATAAAAACATGAAAAGATGCTCAAAACATCACTAGTCATTAAAAAAATGCAGATTAAAATCACAATATCAGTCATTAGCACAGCTTTAAAGAAAAACTGAAAATATTAAGTGCTACTGACCATACAGAGTAACTAAAACTGTCATGTACTGCTGATGGGAATGCAAAAACAGTATAGCCACTTTGGAAAAGTTGACTTTGGCAATTTTTTCTAAAGTTAACCATACACTGGCCATACAGCCCAGCGATATCCCTCCTAGGTACATATTCAAGTAGAGTTAAGGACTTATATTTACATGAAAAACTGTAGCAAATGTTTATAGTTGTTTTTATCATAATTGACAAAAACTAGAAACCACCCAAATGTCCCTCAACTGGGGAAAGGACCAACAGTAGAAAATCCATACAATGCGATACCATTCAGAAATAAAAGGAACTACTGATACACTCAAAACATGGATGAACGTCATTATGCTAAGTGAAAAAAGCTACACTCAAAAACCACATGCTGTATGATTCATTTATATGACATTCTTGCAAAGGCAAACTTAAGGTAATGTAAACTGCTCAATGGTTTCCAGGGATAGGAGTGGTGGGAAGAGTTGATAACAAAGGGACATGGGAAATTTAGGGGTTGATGGAACTGTTCTATATCTTGAATGTGGTGGTGGCTACATAACTGTGTACACTTGCCAAAACTCATAGAACTAAACACTAAAAAACAGTAAAATTTACTCTCAATCTTTTACTGTTCTTATTTACATAAACTTATTTTAATATTGGACAAAGCTTCCAGACCTAAGCCATCATGAATATGCTTAAATTGAATTTTTATATTTTTAGTGTTGAAAATGAGAACAGGGTGTGAGTCAAAAGGACTC